TGTTTGTGCTGATTTGATCCCCTCCGCGCCTGGCCAGCAAATAGGGTCACTGGTGGGCTCTGCTTGGGTGGGGAAAAGCCTGGCTGCAAATGTTTCCTCCTGACTTACTGTGCAGCTGTTGGCTGTGGCCTATAGCCATGGTGAAGGGTGCATGGCCTACTGGTGTAGTAAATGGTGTGTCCTTTGCATCGTATTTTCATATGCTAATGTTAACGTTTGAGTTTGAAGTGATGCACTAGGTATCATACAGCAGGTTTCAGTAGGGCCAATAGGCGCTGGTTGCAGTGTGTGTTGGAGCTGATGAGGCGTGAAGGAAAGGCTGCCTCCAGGCCATTTAGTAAGGACCTCTTTGCACAAATGTGATTAAATGACTATACCACCAGTCAGCCCAGGCCTACCCTGGTGAGGTGGTCACCTAAATATAGATAACAAACATTGGCTTATGCAAACCATGCTGGGCTTCACACAGTGAGGTGCTGCTCTAAGGGCAGCCTGGTGGTGCTAGTCAGTAGAGCAACCCTGTGCAAGCCCACGCAGCGAGGCTCTTGTCTATTTGTCAGCATACAGAGGGCCTTAGTAAGCTCTCTAGGGATGCTTTAAGAAAAGAGACTGCTAGTGGAGCTGGCGATTTGGTATCTATTTATGGCTGTAGTCTGATACCTGATTGCGCCCTCAGCCAGGCGGTACCTGGCCTGCTAATGAGTGCTGTAACTCTTGCCACGATCAAAGAAAATGTGACCATGCATGCCATGTTAGCGGTTGCTGTTTGATGGTAGCTAGAGCAGTGAACTTCAAAGCTCAGCTGCTGGAACATCAGACTTTATAAAATTATGCTTAATCAAGTCATTTAAACAGTATGATTAAGCGGAAAGCCTGAGATGCTCTGCCAAAAGGTGGACAGGCTTTAACGTTTAAGCAGACAAAAACCGTTGTTTGCAGGGGTGGTCTACTGACTGCAGCATAGGCTGAAGGGAGGCACCAGGGCATTGAGGTCAACACACTCCACCAGTTATTGGCACTGGCCTGGTCCCTAAGTGTTGGTATCTGGGTCATGGTGGCACCCGGACTAATGCTGTCCAGTGCCACCATGGCAGATCAGGGCAGCAGAGCAAGTGTACTGGAGCTGAGCACTCCTAAACCACCAGGCCCAGCCCATCTGCTCTGGCTTTTGCCCACAGGTGAGCTGCTGCCCTCCTGTGAAGCCAACAGGCCCAGCTGGAGCAGGATCCCTGGAGAGAGCAGCCTCAGTGCCTACCATGCCAATTTTCCTGCCCTGCTTCCTCCCCTCAGTCTGAAGCACCCAGCCCATCACCACCACGTCAGCCTTCCTCGTGGGTCAGATCACTGAGTGCTTTCAGCCCTGGCACATGCTGCTGCTCTGTGATGAGAGGGCCTGGAGGCCACCTTGTGATCTCAGCTGAACCGGGTACGGAGCAGGACCTCATCACTGACTCCTGCCCCCACAGCTCTGCTCCTTGGCTGGATCCAGGCAGCCACCCCAGAGGAAAAAGGAGGCTGTCACCACATCACCACCACCCCTCTGCTCTAATCATGTTGTTACTTTTAGACTAGCTGCGGGCAGGCTGCTCTCTGAGTGCTACCTTCATCAGAGCTGTTTGTGGCCGGAGCAGCTGTGACACTGTTGGAGCTCAGAGGAGTGTTCTCCCCGCGACCAGCCCCACAGATGGCAACTGCAGGGGTCCGCAACCAGAGCAAGTGATGACACAGAAAAGGGAGGCAAGGGGTATGTTTTAAATACTTTTATTTCTTAATTTACATAAAGGTATATATTTGGCTTATTTCTCTTTTTCTTATACTCTGAGATTCACAATCAATTGCTCTTAAAAAATAAAATAGCCATTTGCTTCTGAAAGAAATCAGAAAACTATTTTATACTCCTCCCTTGTATAACAAGAAAATATACTATATACTCCCATACATCACATAGTAAAAGTGATTGTAAGTGCTGGTTTACCAAACAATAAAGCAAACAGAGAAGAAACCACATAATTAGGACAGAGAGTGCAGAGAGGAACTCTGCTTTCCAGAGTACATCCATTCATTTAATAGGGTTTTGTCAGCCTGAAGTTCATTCTTAGCTAGTATATAAAAGGCTAGAGGCTGTTGGGTTCACCCAGATTCTCGCTCTGTCAGAGATGGCGGCAGGAGGCATTACAGCTACTTGGGTTAGCAGCTTGCTGCTTTTTGGCCAATTTTCTTGCCTCTCTATGCAATTCCCATTACCTCTATTCCTCTTGCTGTGTACAAGCAGCCTAATCGCTTCTGCAGCGGGTGCATTGGTGCAAATGCAGCATTAGTGGTGGAGGAAGTTAATGATTACTTAAAAAAAAAAACATACCCTTTATGAAGTGGAGTAGAAGAAAGCCCTCATGATAAACTAAAGGGCTTTCTGTACCCTCCGCAGCGCGCTCTGGCCACCCTGCCCCTGCACACTCAGGCACAGACCCTGAGGAATGCGGCAGGCTGCGTGTGACACCGTCGGGCCCAAAGAGCGCTGAGCTGTTGGAAGGAGCCTGCACCTTGCGGCAAGGCATCCGAGATGATCGGCATTAAGGCAGAGGTGGGGAAGGAGCAGAGCGCTGCGGAAGGAGCAGTCGCAGCCCTGAGGGGCGGAGTGAGGCAGCAGGTACCGGGGAGCGCGGATGATGCACTGCAGCACCAGCTGATAAGCTGAGCACCTTTTCCCGCCCCTGGCTCCCTGGCCTGAGGAGATGCGTACGTGCAAGGAAGGGAGGACGTGCATAGTGCTTTCTCCCTTTTGGTAGTATTTTCCCATTTGTTTTCAAATGAAGTCAAGGGGTCCTTTTTATTACGTACGCTGATTTTCAGATATTCAGGTGCAGTCACTGATGTGCAAGAGTGGCTTTAAAGGTATTTCTGTTCTTATTGGGACTCTTGAATTTTATGTTGAAGTTTAGAACCACACACATAAATATACAGTCGTTCAGGTTATCAAGGTCAAGCAATGAGCTGGAACCTTGCTTCATTTGTTGTGATGGATGCTAAGATATGTGGATTCTTGCTTAAAAGCTAATTTATCTTTTCCCATTAACAACCTTTCTTTATTAAAAAAAAAAAAACAGAAATACTCATTTTAATGGGGCTGTTATTCAGCTTTGATATAAGTAGTATTTAAACTCAATAAATGGTCCTATTTGCAGGCTTTACTCGCATTCTAGAAATGCTTCCTGTGCATATACCAAATTTTTTTTCACTACTCCTGCACTGCTCCATGAGATCAACAACTAAAATTGCCCTAAAAGCTTCCACGCCTGATTACATCTATATCTACATAAAATTTTTACATGTGGAGTCATGAGGGAAACGAGCACAATACCGCATGCTAAGTCCAGAACTCCGCACGGGGTAATACAATATGCTAATGCATCTTTTAATAATGGGGAGCTTCCAACCTCTTCTAGAGTACAGATGCTGAAGTGCAAGTCGTGATTTTCTGAGAGTTACATACTGGTGGAAATGGGGCTACCTCCTTGGATGGGAACAGTATGTTGCAACCCAAGGAAGGGACTAATATGGAACATATGCCCACTTTCTGTTCAGTAATATGCATGTTTCATGCCCAGACTTGTACTTGTTAATGTCTTACTTCCAGGGGCCTTTTATCTAAGTGTCCCTCTAAATAGACAGAATTCCTTATAAAAGGTCTAACTGAGCAGTTCTTCCAGCTTGGAATACAGATACAGAGCTAAAACAAGAAACACTTGCCAAGAAACCAACCTTTCAACTTCTGACTGATTGAATATGGGTCATCAGTCTGTACAGGGGCAGCAGCGTGTGCAGGGAGTAGAAAGGCAGTGCTTTCTTTCCCCTCTCTCGTTCATTCCACTTTGAGCACTCGTAGCTGTTGCCTTGCCTTCCCTCTCTTAGCCTGGCCCATGTGGGAGCAGGGATTCAGGGGTCTCTCCTTGAGGTGGACCTGCTGCAGGTAGGACTCACTTTTTCTGCTCCCTTCCATCTTTCCTTTTTAAAAGAAAAATCACAGCAATTTCTTCCATATTCCCAGCCTTCTGTAACAGTGCTGGGCTTTCCTAACCAGGATTGAAGCTTGTCATAAATAAGGAGAGCCAGTAAAATTACAAAAACTCAAGTTTCCTTTTCATTGTTGACTGCTGA